GTGTTCCCGGTCGCCGCAAATCCGTGTGAAAACAAGCGGCGGAGTTCTCCGGTAGCGCGAAGGGGAAGGAGAAGTATTTCGTTTGGAGAACCTCCGGCGAACCGCGTGTCACTGGTCCTGTCTGATTTATTACCCGCAGGATCGCATTACAGGGGAATTTCAAATCCTGTAACAACATCCAAGATCACATACTTTAAAAGGAAATATGTGGAAGAAGAGGATTTTCATCCGCCGCTCAGCAGCTGTACGCATAAAGTACGTTTTCTAACAGTCCTTGTTTTTACTCCGAGCTTCAGCTGCCTGGTAACACCCGCCTGACCCGTTTCCAGAGGCTGAAATTCTCTGCTGAAATTAGGCGAATGATCCAGCTGTTTGCTCGGCAACAAATAGCTGTCACTTGTTCACGTTTATTGTTTTATTGTCATCGGATTGCTTAAGCAGCAAAGGCATTTCTTCGTTTATTACAACTGTAAATGGAAATGCTGAGAATAACTTCTTCCCCCCCCCCCCCCCCCTTTCTTTTTTTTTTTTTTTTTTAGGAATTATTCCTCCTCATCATGCGGCAGAAAACAAGAACGTAAAAAAAAAAAAAAAGGGTCTGTGGATCCCCACTCATTCAAAACTTTTTCCAGGGGAGAAAATAGTAATGGGTTCCTTGAACCCCAAACGGGTTACAGATCCTCTAGAAAAACAGAATGACTTGGAAAGAGAGTACAAGCTCCTTCAGTGTTTAATCCTGTTTATTAAAAAGCTAATAACTCCAAAAGAACAGATTAGAAAATGAAAGAATATGTATTTTTTTTTTTTTTAATGAAAGCTGTCAGGGGAGGGATTAGAGCAAACATTCCCAGGCCAGTGAGTTTAAAAAATGAAATCTAACTTTTTTTAAAAAAAAAAAAAAGAGAGATTTTTATGCTCTCATTCATTAAGAGCTCAGTCCTGTAAGGAATTGAATGCTGGGAGTGATGTGCTTAAGGATAGCTGATGCCTTGAGACGCCATCCTTACCTTGCTGCGGGGTCGTGCCTCGCCCATGGCACTCCGGCGCTGCCCAGGTTCCATGGGCGATAGAGAGGCCCCGACGTAACCTGATTAAGGCACCACTTATGGGGGCCGATAGCACCACCAGAGCCCCAGGGACAGACAGCTAAAACAGATCAAGATGAGGAGCAAGTTTAGGCGTTACCTTTGCCCACATCGCAGAGGCAACCTTCTAGGACATGAGGAGAACTGAGTGCCTCGTCCCTCCCAGGGGCTCTGCCTGGGGAGGTCTCACGGGGGGGATCCTGTTTCCCCGGAGGGATTTCCCGTGGAGGGGAGGCGAGCAGTAATGCCGAGCTCACTTCCCAAAGGACCTTAGAGTAGCCAAAGGAATTTTCAGCTACACAGTGTTGGGTGGACGTGAGTACCTGACCGGGAAGATGAAAAACTGCCCCGCCGTTTAATTCCAGAAGGTGTTCGGGTCTGCTGCCAGAGCAATGAATAAAGAGCACCGAGGGTGTTGAAAAATGCACTCCGGTTAGTGAGTGTGTCTCCCGCATGTCACATCACTCTCAGGTTTCAGCCAGGTTTTTTTCTTGGCTGGATCTTTGGATTTTTGTATCAGTGATTGTTTGCCTTGCAAAGAGGAGGAATAGTTAACTTAACCCCTTTCTAACAGCATAAAACCAGTTGTAGAGGTATTGGTAAGACAGACCCACCCCAGACATGATTTTGTGCTGTTGTGGAGGTGCATCATGCCAGAAACCCTGGGTCCCCTGTTTCTTCTGTTCAGCACAAACATGTTTTCTGCTTTGCAGCACTGAGCTCTGGGGAAGGGAGGATGCCCCCTTCCCCCCCCGCCCCCCAATTTCTTTGAATTTCTTTACTCTGCTGCCCAGTAAAGAAAGAGTTTATGTTCTGAGCTTCCTCGTCCCACAGTGGGTAGGGCCCAGAGCCCCTCTCCAGGGCTGTTGGCAGAGTCGTGTAGTGGAAAGCCTTTGACAACTTGTTCCTACTGGTGGCCCTCCAGGAGGTATCTCCAGGAGGATCACAGTTCAAGGCTTCCCGGTTTGCTCCAGGCTTTTATGGCTTCGCTGCAGCAGGTATAAAGGACGCAAATTAACCTATAGGCTTAATGTAATTTAGAATGAGTCACTTATTACAGAAAATTACTCTCTGTAACAAAGAAGAGCTTCAGCTGTGAACTCACAGGAAAACGTGGCCAATTTTTGGTTTTGCGAAGCTCTGTGCTGCTTCTAAGCCCTGCAGACAGGACCAGGCTGTGGAAAGAGCTAGAGGGCCGAGGAGAGCTGAATGGATGTGAAAAGCAGCTGCGCTTTAAGCTCTTTCAGTCCTCATAGCTACGACTTCCACTCTGCAAAAATGCTGTAACCATGTGGGAAAGGGAAGAACGATCAAGCCACAGATGGGGGGGATTTAGAGCGGTCTCTCTTTGTGCTGTGCTGCTCTCCTCCTACGCAAACCAAATTCTTACTAAAAATGAAAATTAGTTAATAGTGCTTACAGTAGCATGCATTGCCCCCTCTCTTATTTTGATTCCCAGGGTAGCGATTACAGAGCAGAATCCGGGGCCTCCCGGGGGCAGTAACCTGCTCGTGCTGCCAGTGCTGAGAAAGGGAGTCCTGGAAGAACCGTGGAAGGGAGAACAAATCTGTGGGCGTCGAGCCAGGATTTCTGCAAATCCCTATCCTCTCTCCGTTTCCTGACCTTGTCCCTGCCTATCTGCGTTCCCACCGGTCCTGTAGAGCGCAGGGTGTAGCATGCGGGCCAACAGCTGCTCTCCAGATGCTGTGATGCTTTGAGATGGGTTTCTCCCTGCCTGTGTGCACTTTTGTACACAAGCGCGGTGGAAGGGAGCTTGGCAAATGGAGACCTCCTCGCCGGAGGGCCTCTTCCACTGGCGGTGGATGAAATGCTCTGACACTTGCCGCATGAGGCAATGGCTGCTGGCTGCGTCTTGCAAACCTTGAGGCTGCAGGAGGGGACCTTCGCTTGGCTTCGGAGCTTTATAGAAGCCCCACAGGGGGTGATGGAATTGGGTCCGTTTACATCAAAAAGCCCCCAGCCGTCACTGGAGCAAAACTGCACAACAATTTCATGTTCTAACCCCAAGTGCAAATAAAGAGCCAGATGCGTGCATCTGGATTTCGCTCTCCCATCCTGGATTCGTGCCCTGCGATTGCCTCTCTGGTGGAACGCTCAGCTGCTTACCTCCTAAACCCGAGCTGAATGCTGCGGCCCAGAAAAAGCAGGTCCCCGGCTACCTGGGTGTGCAAAATGAAAAGCCAGTTTCAGGTGCCTGAGAAAGAGAATGAGAAAAGTAGTGACACGGGGTGGGGGGAAACACTTTGCTTAATTTTCTTTCTCCATGCCTGGAACAAAACTGGTTGCCTTCAGTTCCGTATCTTCTGTCTTTTGCCTTTTCAGACAATCTCTGTGTTTGAGGAGCGGGCCCATATTCTTTACATGTCTTTGGAAAAGCTGAAATTCATTGATGATCCTGAAGTCTACCTGCGGAGATCTGTCCTCATCAACAATCTCATGAAGAGAATCCACGGAGAAATCATCATGCAGAACAACTGGTGCTTCTCCGCCTGCTCCTTCGGTGGCACCTCGCCACCAGAGTGGTTCGTGCCTCAGGACTGTCCGTACAGAAAACGCCTTCGGATGGCAAAGGAGGAGTACGAGAAGCTCCACACATGCTGCTTCTATCAAGAGTGTGGCAGCCACTATTTAAATCTACCCTACTCTGTTCATGCTAGTACCGAAAATACTTCTTCCTCTTCCTCTTCCTTGCTCCTTCGGTGGCACCTCGCCACCAGAGTGGTTCGTGCCTCAGGACTGTCCGTACAGAAAACGCCTTCGGATGGCAAAGGAGGAGTATGAGAAGCTCCACACATGCTGCTTCTATCAAGAGTGTGGCAGCCACTATTTAAATCTACCCTACTCTGTTAATGCTAGTACAGAAAATACTTCTTCCTCTTCCTCCTCCTCCTCCTCTTCCTCCTCCTCCTCCTCCTCCTCCTCCCCCCCCATTTCTTTGCCAAGCTGTTCCCAGCAGGTGGATTATGACATTGGCAGTGCCTCTTCTTACAGGAGTGATGACCAGATACCTGCTAATGAAATATTCATCACTAATGCCAGGTCTCACAGGCATCAGGAAAAGGCAAAATTTAATGATGAGAAAGGAGGTAATGAACCTGAGTGCGAGAGCGTCGCTCTAAACTGTGAACCTGTAAGCGGCACCCATGCTCTCGAATGTAAAGGCAAATTTTATGACTATTTCGAGACTGGATGTAATGACAAGAGCAACTTAAGTGAATCTTGGAAAAAATCCTTAAGGAAAAAGGAGTCTTTACCAAGTAATAAAATGTGCTGCAGCAAAGGAAGTAAAATATGAGGCATCTTTCTTGCTCCGTTGAAGCATGCGCAGCATGTTCGTTTGTCTATCAAATTTTTATTTTGAACGGATTTTTTTATAGTTTTCTACAACTGATACAACCATGCCACAAACATTGCGTGTAGTTTTAAATGAATGGAGAGCAGATTGCACCAAGCGTCCCTATGATCCGCATCGGCAGGCTATTTATAAATATGGAGACTTCATAAAGAACGCAGTTGCGTTACTGCTTAGCACTGTAGTCTGTACAGCTATGGTGCAGCTTTCGTTACTGAAAATACCAATCAGCCAGATGGGGAAAACGTATCGTTTTCTATATCCCCGCCCCCAAGAAGTCTGCCATTAATTAAGAAGAACTTCCATTGTGTTTACCGAGGAATTACAAGTCTGGTAAACAAATCGATGCTACCAGCAAGGGTGATGTGCTCCTCGTAACTCAGTATTTGTTCTGACGTGGGACTGTCTTCATGGACTGGGAACAAACTGCCCTTACGTTCTGTACTGATGCTCGTGAACTCCTGGATTCAGCGTCTTATTCAACTGACGAAATAGGACATAGCATAAAGAAATAACCTGTTTATGGGATCTTAATCAGAAACGCAACATGCAGCTCAAGTACTTGCACGTTTTCACCTCGGCTGTAATAACTAACAAGGCTTGTTGTTACAGAGGGCAGGTTTTTTTTTGGTGCCTTACTTTTTGTCTTAATTTTTGCCAGCGTGAAAATTAAGTATAAATCAGTGATACAGCAGGGATTTAACCTAAACAGAGTGAAAAAAAAAAACAAAACTACCCGCAGGGTGGATCAATATTATTAGAAACCTTTAACCTTTGAAGTACTGAGTTCAACTTCCTATTCAAACATCTCTGTTCTTCCTTTTTGATGCTCAATTGCTTTTTGATTTGCCATCCTTAGGAAGGGATTTAAGAAACAATAGAGAGATGTCTCTTGTAAACAAGCATTCGATGCTTGAGTGTTTCTATGGCAACTGTCTGTTGCCGGGGCTCTTTTTTTTCCTTCTTCGTATAATGAAGTTCATGAACCAGTGGCATGTTTTATACTTTATTCTGTTTCGCATAATTTCTCTCTTTTAGATTGCAAAAGCATGCGGGAATTTTTCTATGACTTCTGCCGTTGATTTAAAAAAGACAAGAAAGCAAAAAGCACAATGTTAATCGATAATGTGGCGATAAACATGATTTTATCTGAATGAATGTAAGGGGTTTAATTTTAAAAAAGAACATTTTGGAGAAATGAGCTGAGATTTCAGTGGCTAAGGACAGCATTTAGTCATCCCTAGGTAGACGGTTTGCCAAAGCGTGCTGTTTAAAATGCCCAGAAGACGTTGGTCGGGGTTGGACTGAGAGTATTGTGAGTCTTAGATCCACCAAATTAATTAGTTCCCACAGTCCCCGTAACAACTGGCAGGATGTGCTTGGCAAAATAGCCGCATCCAAGCCACGGCTGACTCATAATAGCTGCCTGTTCCCACAGCGTCGTGCTCTCAAGCGACATCTTCTCCTCTTGGTTCTTGTCCAAGAAGACAAGCTTGGTGAGATTCACCTCTGCGCTGGGGAAGCGGCCAGCTCGGCGCAGGGCACGAGGGTCCCCAGGGGGGACGCCGCCCTGGGCTGCCCTCGGCTTGGCGCTGGACTCGGCCGGGTCTCTGGGTCAGAGACCTCCTGCTCTGGGTTTCATGGGTTCAGCCTGAGTCCTTCTGGGCCATGGTTATTTTGGGTAGTATGCACACCCTGCAGTCACGTTTGCAAGCTGGATGGTTTTCATGACTAAGCCCAGCGCTCACAGGAAAAGTCTTCCCCCCTCCATCCAAAGTGACCACAAAGAGAGTATCTAGGATGTAAATCAATGAGAACCTTTATGCGGTCAGGTGAGTTGGAACTCACAAGTTTGTAAGGGTTATTGTTGTGAGGAACAACAAGTAAAGAAAGTATAAATCCCACCTGATTTCTCCAAGACAGAAGCTTTTTTATTAATAATAATAATAATATTAAATATAGATCTCATTCATACAGTGTATGAGTAGGATCATCATTTAGACGTTTGTCCACAAGGACCAATTTTTTAAAAAAACCTGATTTTTCTTGTGTTATACCCAGATAGTCTAGTAATGTCTGCTCTTTTCCAATATTTGATAAACACTTGATGTTTTAAGCTTAAATATTAGATGCTTGTATACTAATGTGTTGTTGTAGTAAAGTGAAATTTCCTTGATATATATTTATTAAAACAACCAAAATTCATTTTAATTTTACATTTCCAATGGGTACTGGGTCCTTTCCCCCATGTCCCCCTCCTTCACCCAAGGAAATGCCATTTAATCAAACTACTCCCTGCTGAAGAAGTTAGGCTGCAGTTGGCTGAGCACCTCAAGTTGAGTCCAGGATGGAGCTCAGCCTCCTTGGGGTAGCGGGAGCCTTTAGAACAGCCTGGAGGGGGACGGAGAAGCAGCAGACTTCTCTGTGGATTTACATGTACAGCCAAGGATAACACCTGGCCAAATGCTGCCCAAGCCACAAATCCGCTAACACTTTGGGGGGGGCTGAAGGCTTTTTGACCCTATGGGGCTCCTTGGTGTTGGAGAACAAGCCTGCACACATAACCCATTGCAGAGTCTTCTGAGTTGAATTTGCACCAGCTGAAGTGATGGATCAGCAGAACTCTCAGTCTACTCTGGCCTCTAAAGCAGCTTCTTCAGCTCCAGGGACACCTAGAAGTTAACCTGTTACAGCTCTGGACAGTCTTGCTGAGTGTCGTCAGGGTCTGTAAGGGCTGAAATGTCATACAAATATCTTAAGGGTGGATGTCACGAGGACGGAGCCAGACTCTTTGCAGTGGTACCCAGCAACAGGACAAGGGGCAACGGGCACAAACTGAAACATAAGAGGTTTCAGTTGAATATGAGGAAAAACTTCTTTACTCTGAGGGTGACAGAGCACTGGAACAGGCTGCCCAGGGAGGTTGTGGCGTCTCCTTCTCTGGAGATATTCAAAGCCTGCCTGGACGAAGTCCTGTGTAACATGCTCTAGGTGAACCTGCTTTAGCAGGAGGGTTGGACTAGATGATCTCCCAAGGTCCCTTCCAACCCGTGCCATTCTGTGATTCTGTGAAGGTTGGCCCAAGGAGAAGGGGTCTTCTAAGGCTTTCTCTGGACCCAGCCTCACAGAATAATAGCAAATACTGAAACTAGGTATATTGGACTCAGGGGGCCACTGAGTTACCCTGTTCGCTTCAGCAGACAGAGGTATTTCATGTCAGAAAAGGGAGTCGGAAACACCCTTGTCCAATTGCCAGAAGTGCAATAGACCTTGATAGGATTTCCAACCTGGGCTAGGCTGGGTGGATTTCAGGGTTTAAATTTGGTTTGATTTATGGCATGTGAAGAGTGGAAAGCTGATGGGCCTTTTCCCCATTGCACGCTCCAGTACTAAGGACATTTTGCAAGTACCACAAATTTTCGAAATAGTTCTTTTCCAAGATTATACTAATGCCTGTCGTCCGTTATGTCCCGTGCATAACTGCTAAATGAATGCTCCTGGACTCGATCCTGGCCTGCCTGCCTGGAAGAACTAGACAGAAAAGCTTCTCTCTAGGGAGATTGGTTTACTCTCGATCACAAGATAATTTGCTCCTAGAGTGTAGGACTATAAAGTACTGTGCCTTTCTAATCCCTGCTTAGAATGGTACTTCAGTAACACATGGAAAACAGCAACAGAAAAAGATGTTTCTGCTGTCAGGTCTATTTTAATGTCACTAAGTGGTGTGATTTTATCTTCAGGATCGCTTTCTACCAAGTAATACGTTTCCCTTGGAAATGCATAGTTAGTTTGAACTGAAAAAAATATTCTCCTTTTTCAAAACACGTGGCATATAACATTGTGCTTCATATATGCTTCATACTTTCGGTAAAATTTTACTATTTTTACTGGATTAGCTAAACTGTTGAAACAGCTTAACAAGGTTACTTAAGCATCCCCAGCACTCAAATAGCCTCAGCTGGCACCGATTTGCAATGCCAGCCTAGCAGCTGGCTCCGCAGAGAAAACAAGCGCCGGCTGAGCCGCAGAAATGAAGCGCTGCTTTCAGTCCTGGGGGTGCTACACCCCAAAGCAAAGTTGTGGTAAAGGGATGTTTTTTTCACATTCCATCTTTCTCTGTGCCCTCCACCCTCCTCGTCCACCTCCATCTCTCGTCTACCGGCTGTCCTTTCGCTGAAGTGCATGACACGCCACCAGGGGGTACGCTGGGTGCCGCCACCCTTTGGGTTTGGGGTAGGGGAAGCAGGGAGCTGGGTCAGAGGTGCAGCCATGATCTAAAGGGGAATTTAAACAGACTAAGCAGGCTGCAGTGTGGCTCACTGCTTTGTGGCCCCTCTGGAGCCTCATGCCAGTTGCGACCCACCCAGCTAAACGGCCTTTCCAGCTGCTGGTAGCTCAGGTTGCCCCTGTGGTAGCCATCTGGTGATTAAAGGGCTACGACCAAAGCCAAGAAATGAGGGTGATTTCTGATCTGTGTTTGATTCATGCCCTTTTGTTGCCTTCTTGAGATAAAGGCTATAGCCAGCGGTGTAGCAAATGCAATTGCTGCTTACTTATGCCAGGAACCTTGATAAAAGAAGTTCCTTAAGTTTTATCACCCAAAGAGCCAGTCAGTCACATCAGAGAAAGGTTTAAACCGCTGTGGGGTAAAGGATTTCATCTGGCGTTTTATTCAGTGAATGTAACTCTCGCATGGAAGCCTCCCAAAGGGACCTAACCTTTCTCATTGCCTGTCCCTTGCTTTGGAACCTCGAAGAAAGGGGCTGCCCTGGCTTTCCGGAGGTAACCTTTGGGGCTCCTCAGTACTGGTATGAGTTTTTCCGCAGCTGCATGAAGCACCCCAGAGGCTTTTCCTGGCAGGATGTGCAGAGCCTGCTAAAAGATCACAGCCGGGGAAGCGCTGTGAAGGCCCTTGCTAGAAATGTTAGGAGATGTGAATCTTC